TATATATATATATATATATATATATCAAAGTTCTTTATAAAAACATTCTAATGTCCTGAGTTTCTAAATTGGTCTATTCAATGTACTTTAAGTTCAGAACCACAGAGACATTAATGTTTTTTTCTTTGTTTCCCATCAGGTTTATTTATTATCCTGCAAGAGATAGCTTTTGAGAATTAAGTCATTATGAATATGAAAGAAAGTTAAGTAACACAAATTGATGTGCATGTCCAATTTGTAAATGAATATAAGGGCTTTCTTTTGTATTTGGTAAATACAGAGGAGCATCCCTTATCTGCAAATCTGACAACTGAAATATTTCAAAATCCAAAATATTTTGAAGGCCAATTTGACACCTCAAGTGAAAAATTCCACACATGACTTCGTGTGGCAGGCACATGGAAAATATATGAAGTGAAAAAACACACACTAAAAATGGTTTGTAAAATTATTTCCAGGCTATGTGTATGAAGTACATGTAAAATACAAATGAATTTTATGTTTAGAATTGAGTTCTATCCTTAAGATATCTTATTATATATAGGAAAATATTTTCAAAAAATTCAAAATCCAAAATACTTCTTTGTTAAGCATTTGAATAAGAGATACTCAACCTGTATAACCAAGCTAATATTTATCACCAAATTATAGCTCATGTGTATCCAGAGTCAAACATAAGTTTTTAAGATAAGTGATTCATATAGGACATTTTATAAAAGTATTTTTTGTGAGAAATGTCTTAGGATAAGACAATGCTTTCTTCAGCATATTATGTGTTGTTTGGTTGACCTTTACTTAATTTTCTAGAGGTGGCTTTCAAATATTACAATGTCAGGGATAGGGTTGTCTATTGAATAAATAATGGTTGTTTTCCAATTAATATATAGACATTATAACAATATCCACTTCTATGTTCATTTCAATGAAAGTGAAAATTCTGGGTTAATGAATTTAAGGACTATGCTTTGTATTTGGTGAGTATAGTTTAAACTAAAGTTAATAAAAAGCATAGGAAGTTCCTCAAAAATTCAGCTCTTCAAGAAGGACTTTCCAAAGTTTAGGTTATGAATAAAATTATATAGTTTCCCTACCAACCAACTTGTATCTGTTTTGTTCTGATACATAAAATCTCATCATAATACTAACCATTATAAAATAAATTACTATAATCGACAACATATTTCAGTTAGAACTCTTCTTATATTATTCCCAATATTATATCCTTAAGAAGTATCTTTTCTGTCTTAGCTTCCAACATGATTCTTTAGATACAGGGGGAATAACAGTATGTATCTATTGAACAACATATATTAAAACATTACCAGGGGTAGAAATGATGGTGGAATATGAAATGAGGCCCAGAGCCAGTAGCAGAACCAGGTGGAATGTGATGGACATCATTATCCAAAATACATGTATGAAGACATTAATTGGTGTGAAAATATTTTGTATACAACCAGACATATGAAAAATTGTGCTCTATATGTGAAATATGAATTGTAATGCATTCCACTGTCATATATAAAAAATCTTTTAATTACCATTCACTTCAAAAGCAGTTTCATTTATTTCTAATACTTGCTTTCATAATATTTTTATGTAACACCAATTAGAAGCCCTTTTAACACCTCTTTCATTTGGGTGATTTTGTAAAAATAACGAAGCATAAAGCCATTCTACTTTGAAATGAGGCCCAGAGCCAGTAGCTGAACCAGGAAGAGGGTCCCTAAATCTTTAACCCATATTTACTCTGAGGAAACCAATTGCCATTACTCCATACTACTTCCTTTAAGGTGAAAATAGGAGAGATTCAACTATGATAAGAACTTTGCCATAAAGTTACCATGTGGACAATTAGAGTAAATTAATAACCAAATGACAGTTGAGCCATCCTTAGTCATGATTTCAGAGACTCACAATAAGGATATATCTCAAAATAATACCAAATCACATCTCCCATTATTAGAATGTCTACAGTGGAGTGTAAAGATTGTTTGAAGTTGTATCTGTTTATCCCATTTATACTATATTATTGTTACTTGCATAATACAGTGCTTAGGGGCTTGAAGCCACACAGATGTGGCTCAGACTCCAGCTCTACCATGACCTTGCTATGTGAACATGGACAAATTAGGTAACTTTTCTAAACATCATTCTGCTCATGTGTAAAATGGAGCAAGTATTAGAACTGATTCACAGAGTACTTGTAAGAAATAAAATAATGATCTTATAATGTTCCAGACCTAGGGATCTGGCACAGAGAGGAGGTTCAATAAAGATTACTTTGTTGTTCTTCATTATAACCCTAAGTAGGTTATAATGTTATTATTATAATGTTATTATAACCCTTATTTTGTAACATGGTGCCAAAGCAAGGTGCCAACCTTCTGAAAACCATATGGCCCAAAAGTGGAAAATCTGATATTGAAACTCAGGCTCTGTGATTCCAGATTAATAGGATGCTTAATATTTAACCACTGTTCTAAGCTGTCACCAGAAAACTGCATTCAGCTTCCTTGACCTGAAAGTTTCCCATTCTATCCCTCTTTGAGGATAATAAACATTACAAATGACCTTCTTCAGTTAGATGGGAGGTTGATCAGAATGCCTCCTGCTGATTCACAGTACAGTACGGGTTTTATGGCGCAGAGAAAGCATCTTTCTGATTCTCTGAGATTCTGATCTCATGTACCTGATTCTCTGAGATTCTGGAAAATGCATGCACCTTAGAAGTGATAATTTCTACCTTTCTGCACCTCCAGGCCTCTTCTTATATCTCTTTCTACCTAAAATGCAACATTGCTGTAGATGATACTTCCCAGGATACAGGAGTCCGCCATCAGCCTAAACCATGCTCCTTCCTGGCTTGAACCTTGCATGAGGTTGCAATCTCTGAATCTGTGCAGAAAGAGGAGTTCAGAGAAGCAAATGACAGTTCTCTGGCCACCTCACAAAACAGCCTTGTGCAAATGTAATAGTGCCTGATTTTCCACAGGGCACTAAGTTTGAGACCACAGGGCATTAAGTCTGAGGTAGAGAAAGACAGGAGAAAAAAATAAAAGTTTTCTAGATCCAGAAAATTTTCCAGATATATGCTTATATGCCAGTTCTTGTACAAAGCTGGGAAATAGGTTAAGGGGGCTTCCTGGGCACAAAGAAGATAGTAAATGTTTTATCTTTGTCTCTGAGACTAACAGGCAACTAAACGAACAATCAAAATATAGAATAAGAAGCACTTAAATAGGTGATGGATGGCACCAGGGAGACACAGAACAGAGGTAGGTAACTCCATTACTTAGTATGTGCATGGGGGAAAAAACAAAAAGAAAACCACCGTCACTAGCAGATGTCTGGCCTGCCAGCACTGCATTCAGGAAAGATGAATAGACATGGATATGACCCAAAGAAGAGAGAGAAAATGATACTCAGGAACAAAATTCTGGGTGGATAGCTAAGAAAGAACATCCCTGAGCAGTGCATGTAGAGGGGAAATGGGAAAGCAAATTTTAATCCAAAGTACATAAAAATGTGAGTGAATGTTCAAGGGTAAGATGATTGGAGATCTCATCCTGGGTAGACGGCAAGTTAAAGGGCATCCTTCAGCCATAAAGGAAGATCAGCGACAAGATGGATTCTGAAGACCATCCCGCTTCTAGAATCTCTCATTCTCTTAGTCATGGAAAAACAAGAAGAGACAGCTCCAGGTAATGGACACAAAGAAAGCAGAATAGTGCTCACCTCTGCCGTCCAGGAAGTAAGGAAGCAGCCACGGAACAATGACAGGACCCCAAAGGAACCATAATTGGTGGGTATTTTACAGATGTTCAAAATTCAGAGATAATACATGTCAAATGTATTGAAATGTGATGTTTCAGGGTAAATAGCAAAAATGAGTGAAGATAATTTGTCCTATATTAAATAATAATAATAATAATAATAATTAGAAAAAATTCTTTTCCAGAAAGGAAAAGAAAGTATTTGCAAATAAGATGAAACTAAAAGGAATGAAATGAACGGAAATGATAATTCTCAAGTTATCAAGTCAGCAGTTTATAATAAGCATGGACTTTAAATTGATTAATTATTTTATTGAACTGGTTTTTCTTTTGAAAATGGTTGCATCAAATAGTGTGAAAATGGATCCAGATGTAGTTGCTTCTGTGACATTATTAGGAATGTATGAGTAAAGGGAAGACAGATCATTTAATTATAAATATAACTAAGAATGTATTTTATGTTTGGAAATGTCTGAAACAGTTTTAGCATTAAAGGTAGGGTATGTAAATTAAAAAAAACAATTAGCCTGTTTGTAATTTTGGACGAATAGACGGGTATTATCACTAATTATTGAAGATTAAAGTATTTATGTGCTAACTCGTTTTTGCAAAGTTAATCGATTAT